GCTTCAGCACCTGCAAATGAAATTAAAACAGATTAATAGTGCACAGGACAAACAAACACAAGCCCTCCACAGGCAGCATGCTAATGTGGAGCCTGTATGGAGGATAATGGGACATTTTACACTGAAACGACAGATTTCAGATCTCCTGCTGCATGGTCCTTAAAGGGATAGTTCACCAAAAAAATGAAAATTAGCCCATGATTTACTCACCCTCAAGTCATAGGTGTATATGACACTTTTTTTCAGACGAATACAATCGGAGTTATATTAAAAAAAATGTCCTGGCTCTTCCAAGCTATAATGGCAGTGAATAGCCGTTTTGTTTTCCTTTTTGAACCCCATACAAGTGCATCTCTCTCCATCATAAAAGTGCTCCACGCGGCTCCGGAGGGGTTAATAAAGGCCTTCTGAAGCGAAGCGATGCGTTCGTGTAAGAAAAATATTCATTCACTGCAATAAAGCTTGGAAGAGCCAGGAGATTTTTTTTTAATATAACTCCGATTGTATTCGTCTGAAAGAAGAATGTCATATACACCTAAGATGACTTGAGGGTGAGTAAATCATGGGCTAATACATTTTTTTTGGTGAACTATCCCTTTAAAATAAATCTAAAACTATGGGAATGCAATTTTGGGGCATCGAAATGCTTGCAGTGGAGTTTAAACTTATAAAGTCTATACAAATCATTAGAAGTCATAAAGGACATGGATCATATGTTCAGGCCTTTCATTTTGATCTACACATGAGTGTATAAGACCATTGAACGCTCTTTTGTCACTCACGCCCGTGTGCGTTTCCCATGCGTTCTCACCGCATTTGCATGAGAACAGCCCTGAGAGGCGGGTGTGAAATATTCTTTTCATGCTCTGCTAAAGGATGGAGATCCCTGTCAAGGCAAAGCTTGCTGTGGCTTTGGTTTGTTTCGAGACCGCTGGATTCCATGAGCCGAGGTTTTATGTCATGTAATGGTTTCCCATTTGCAAGGTTGGGCCTCTGCAGCTGCAGAGCCCATTACAAGTTGATTGACATCATTCTTGGGACGTTTACAGGTCATTTGCAATGGCATGTGGTGCATGGTAATGGATTGAGGTCATATGAAAGCACACTTGTTGAGTTTCTGGACTGTTTGGGGAGATTTGAAAATGAAAGGTCATTTTTTTAGTTGCATTGTTTTCTGTACTGCAGTGTTCATTATCTTATGAGTTATGCATGTGCCCACAAGAAATAAAATAAAATAAACGTAAAAATCTCATTTAAAACACACATCAAGTTCTACTCCTTGTATTCATGTTTGTATTGACATTTTCAAGAAAGAAAAGTTTTAGATTAATGTCATGTGGTGTAACCGTGAAGTCAAAAGGAATAACATACGTTAGTAACACTTTGAATACAAGTACATTTTTATTTACAATTACTATAAATTAAGGATAAGTATCAGATTGCAATCTGAACATTACAGCCACGAGAGCCTGCAGGGGTCTATGATATTTTCCTGTTTTATGTTTTATTTTCCTGTGTGTCAGTCACACATGATATTTATGGTGGACAAAAGTTTTTGGAATATCAATAATATTAAAAAAGATGAAATCTAAAAATATCAAGTAAAAATACTTTTTTTGATGTAGCCTATGTATTCAAGTAATTGTTTGTATGAATTACATTAATTTATCTTTAAATAAACATTCCTCTAATAACGTCAGGGTAAAAAAATATTTTCATGATTTTTTATCACAACTTTCTTTCTTTTGTCAAATCAACTTAGATAATTAATGTGGTTCATATTTTGAATTCCTTTTGATTAAACCAATCTTCTTCATTGTATTGACTCAAAATTTTTAATTTCAATGAACTCAAAATGTTTAGGCAACCAATGTAACTTGCATTTTTAAGTTAAACCAATAATATTTTTTTACGTGTCCATTCAGTTATCTGGTCTTTACTAATGTTCTCATAACACAAAAACATGTATGCATCATTCATGGAATGTTTTTTGCTGAAATGTTTTAGTTGATTAGAAAAGTTCAGAATGTTCAGAGAGCAAGCAGAGTTTCCCAATGTTTACAGGTTAATAAAATGGAATGTCTAAAAAACTGGATGTTTCGAACGTTCAGAAACATTTAGAAATAACTTTTTTCAATGGGAAAGTTAGCAAAACATGTAGTTGTTCATGCACATTCCTGCACACGGCTGTGTGGTTTGTTGAATAATTTCCTCTCTGGTCATCTGCGGGATGACTGCCGCAAAAGGTGGGGGTGTCCTTTTGGGGTGATGTTCCTTTTTGCCCCCTGACACTGTTGTGATTAAGGATTAGACCGGAGAGGGTCTTCAGCCATCTCTCCCCTTTCCCTAAAGTTTAAACAATCACCCCCCTCCCTGCCCCACCTCCCCCTTTTACCACTCCTCCGTTCCCCTGGGGGTGGGGGGAGGTTTGTAGCCCAAGAACTTTTTTACTCATTATGTTCTAAAGTCTTTTGCTCAATCAGTGGAGCAGGAGGGAAACACCCCACACCCACACACCCACACCCTGGCCTGCCCTCACTCCCCTGCCTGCCAATAACATTGCATCAAACACCGAAGTCCCTTAATGCTTCTTCCAAGTACCCAAAACAAACTGACCAGATGTCTGTTTATCACACTCTAATGACCCCAAGACAACAGGTTAAGTGTTTTAGGCCGCAAGGTATTTCGTTTTCAATCATTTGTGCCTTGCTAATGAGTTGCGCGTACTTCTGTAGTTTGAGTATTTTCTACACAAGTCTATTCTCATAAATTCCTCCATAACTGACCCATTACATCACTGTCTGTCTAAAGCACTTGTGTTTCTCTCCCCTTATTAGGACGGTAATGGGGTTCCCGGTTCCTTGACCTCCTCATTAAAGTATGTTTCTAATTATAAGCTGTAGTCTTGCAGGAACGTTAACAATAGGTATTAGACAGACTAACTGTTTTGTTCAGTTGTGAGGTTAAGTTACAGCTGCATGGATGGAGTCAGCTAGTTCACAAGAGCCCTTGTGTCTCAACAAGCCCTTCATACGATGACATATTGGTTTGTTGGAACCTCCTCCCTGCCCATTTTGGTCTTTTCTGCTTTTCATTAACAAAGGGGGGAATCTTATTAGTGTGGCTTAATGTTGAGAGAGTAAAATTACAGTCACTAACAAGCTACCTCAAAATTTAGAGAGGTATTTTTCAGAAATCATTATAATATGCTGATTTGGGGCTCAAGAAATATTTCTTATTATTATCAATGTTGAAAACAGTTGTGCTGCTCAATATTTTTGTGGACACCATGATACACAATTAAACATTTAAACAATTATTAAAATACCATTTTTTCTTAGTATGAAAAACATTTCAATAACCTAAAGATTTTTTTTTTCACTATGAAGAACCTTTTGTGCGATGGAAAGGTTCCATGGATGTTAAAGGTTCTTCATGGAACCATCAATGCCAATAAAGTTGAATTTTTATGCACTTCTTTTAAATAGATCTGATGGTCATTTTGCACTGTAACCATTGATGAAGACCCCCCAAAAAACAGAACTACATATGCATGTCCTAAAAAATACTACTATAATTTGTTCAATGAAGCTTGGATTCAAAGTAATTGCAAACCAAGAACTGCAGAGAATCTATCTTCTTGTTTAAAACTTCTAGCTCACCGAGACAGTCACGTCTCCTCTCACAGTGGGATCAGCTGATCAGAATGTCTGTGGTCACCAGGAAGAGGGATATAAAATGACTTTAATGTCAACCTCTTCACCAGTGGGTGACACTTTCAACACCTTAGGTTGTATCAAAGCACCTCAGAGGGTTGTCGTCTCCCGTTCTGACAGCAACAGGGTGGCGCGATCGAACCTTCAGATGTTTTAACGCAGTCAAATGAGTCACAATAGCCTCAAACATTGTTTTCTTAAACTAATTGGGTATAGCTAGTAAACTATGACTCAATGCATAAATAAAGTGAATAGTGTATATATGAACTGTACTGGTCAAAAGTTTGGAATAAATAGGATTTTGTAATGTTTTTGAAAGTCTATATAAAGTCTATATATATATATATACTTTCTATAGGCTATATATATATTGGGCACTCAAGAAAAAAATATATAATATAGGCTGTATATATAAATATTTTTTCTTGAGCACCAAATCAGCATGTCAGATGTTTCAAAAACACACATAGGCCTATATATATGGCCTATATATATATATATATATATATATATATATATATATAATATATATATATAATATATATATATATATATATATATATATATATATATATATTATATATATATATATATATATATATATATATATATATATATATATATATATATATATATATATATATGTCAGATGTTTAAAACACACACACATATATATATAAACATTGATAATTATCAGAAATGTTTCTTGAGCACAAAATCATCAATTGTAATTTATTCCTGTGATGGTAAAGCTGAATTTCACATGTGTCACATGACATGGTCCTTCTGTTCAGCTTTACCCTCACAGAAATAAATTACAATTTAAAATACAGGCCTATAAAATAGAAAACACTGAGGCTATTTTAAATCAAAATATTTCACAACTGTTTTGTATATTTTTGATCAAATAAATGCAACATTTGTGAGCATCAGATGCTTCTTTCAACAACATTAAAAATGTTTAATTATTCCAAACTTTAATATAATGGTATATTTAATATATATTAATATGTCAGTGTGGGTTTACACAAGGAGAGTTTTTGTGACCAGTAAAATGTAGCTGTTATATAGCACCCAGTAGCTGGTTTAGCCTAGGCCTACTTGTTAGCCTACTACTAACAACAACAGCTGGTATGATGCCATTAGAATCGGATGATAAAGTACACTATTCCAACTTATAAACTACAGAAAACAAGCGTTATATGTTTGTTTCTAAAACACAAACAACTCATCCGCGGGCTTGGTAAAGTTCAGTGTGTAGTGGGCGGAGCAAAGAAAAGGCGGAGGTGTGGTCGCCGTACAACAGCCTTAAAAACACGTGCTGAGTCGAGCGCGTGAAGTTCATGAAAACTACGAGGGAGTTGCGTGGGATCACGGAGGAATCATCAAATAAAGTCTTCGTCAGGACTATGCCATCCTACGCGCTCAATCAGTTTATTGACCTGGATGATGTCCTGTGCAAGGTAGATCTAGCGTTTATGAGTGGATAACGACAGTGTGATTGTTGTGGGAAACATCACGTAAGTTAGCTAACGTTAATAGGCTTGAATCACGTTTATAGTGCGGGTTGTTTTCCATGCATCTGAATGCATTCTGCAGGAAACGTATAAAGCCTAATGCAAACGTTTTCAGTAAGGTTCAAGATAACTGATCGAAGCAATTTAATGACATCTAAGTTGCTAGCAACTTCTCTGCCAGGGAGGAAACGTGGGCCACGAGTCAGCGCCGTTTTATTCCAATAAGACCTTATAGTCATGTTGTGCTGGTTTTGCATGTATGAATCTAGAACATAACGAGATGAAAGCGCTAAATGCTTGTCGAATTGTTGAGAGTTAGTGCAAAAATATTTAAACTTCGTTTGATTTTCAAACGTAAACAACTTGACTGGCCGTAGCTGGAGAAAAAAAAAACTTGCCGCTGAAAAGTTTTTTTTTCTTGTTTCGCGTTTATCTGAATCTTAATTTAAATGCATGCGTGTATAGTACGCAAACTATGCTTTCAGACTTGAAATCGCAGTTTTCTTATTGCTACATTAATTGAAACCTTGCGAATTGTAGTCTCCGATGCGCATGCGAATCGTTTTATTGAGTCGACTCAGTTGAACCTGTTGATAAAACCTAATATTAGTTGTAACAGCTGAATTGATGCGCATGAAATTGATGATAAAAAATATTTTATTAATGTGCGTGACAAAATGTGTGTTGGAGTGTTAGAAACCACTCGATGATGCTACGATTCTTTTTTGGATCGGTTCTTTTGAAAGAACAAAACCGAATCCGACTCCCCATTATTCCATTCATTGCATGTGCTGTAAACAAATATATTTGCTGTTTTAAATTAAACTACCGTACTGTCGTCTGCTTAAAGATGTATAACCCTCTTGTTTTTCTCCTTGCAGCACCTTTTAAATCTTGATCTCCGAGAGCCGATGAAGACCTCCGCACAGGCAGCTGCTGTTGGATATAGGAAGCCTGACAGTCCCTGCACACTTTCCTCCACTGGTTCAGGACTTTCTATTGACAGCATTGAGAGTGGAAGCATGAACACAAATTACTGGGGCACCCAGAAAGTATCATCTCAGTCGAAGTGGGGCAAGATGCCCTTCTGGTCGGAGCGCTCCGTTAGCATGGTGGAGGGCAACACTGGAAGTCTGGGTTGGTCTTCTGCCGAACCCAGCCATTTAAAGCAATCTTCAGTCACATCAGGTGCCGTTTCCCTCTCCAACTCTACATCTTCGATCACAGCCACCTCATCACGCTACAAGACCGAGCTGTGCCGCACGTTCGCCGAAAGGGGTCTGTGTAAATATGGCAGCAAGTGTCAGTTCGCGCACGGCCCTGACGAACTGCGAGACCTCAACCGTCACCCGAAATATAAGACCGAACCCTGCCGCACTTTCCACTCGATTGGATTCTGCCCCTACGGTATCCGCTGCCATTTCGTTCACAACGCCGAAGACGATTACGCACAATCCCGAGCCCAAACCTCCAACCCGACTGTCCAACGGCCTCCCCTACTCAAGCAGAGCTTCAGCTTCGCCGGGTTTCCCACAGCTCCCCAACCTCTCGAAGCCCCTCTGGCTCCTTCCTCGTTCCTGCGCGCGCCTTCCGTTTCGACTCCGTCAAGCGCCATGTCTGACCTCCTCTCCTTGGCCTTCCCCGATATAGACCCCAACACCCTTCTGGACCAGGCTCGAGAGTTGCACCCTCAGTTTCTTCCCTCTCCTGACTCCGGGTACTCGCACTCGGGACTGACGCCCACGTTGTCGCCCACCCAGCTCGCTTCCTCCCAGCCCGAAGGCTGCTTACGGCAGAGTCCTACCGGTGGAGCTTCCCTAGGCCTCCGGAGTCTATCCCACACCTCTCTCTCAGACCACGAGGGGGGCAGCTGCAGCTCATCCAGCAGCATGAGCGGGTCCGAATCCTCCTTCGGGCCGGAAGCCAACGGGCGCAGGCTTCCCATCTTCAGCCAGCTTTCAGTTCCGGATGACGCCGTCTACAACGAACACAGCAACTCTAGCACAAGCTTCTTCCTGTAGACTGTCACTCCTCACGGGGACTGAACTGTATACTGTGGTATACCTGATGTATTATATGGCTGATACTTGACATTTTTAGTTAAGCTCTGAGTGAAACATACTGTTTGAAGGTACTGAATGTTGAAATGATTCGTTAAAGTGGGGTTTCATGTGCTTTTAAGTGGAGCGATTCGCCATGTTTTATTTTTGATGACTGAATAGACAAGTGGGGACCAGATTGAACTCTACAACCTGCAAAGTTCTGGCATCGAGATGTTTAGTAACATATGAAGCTGTTAACTTTTAAGATGCATTTAGCAATCAGCTATTTACGAAACCGTTGTACCGAAATAGCCAAAGAGAGGTTATGACCAGGTCTTGAAGGTCATTTTCAATATTTGAGAGATTCATTGTACTCTTTCTAACTAGAGGCCAAACTATTTGTTTTGTTTTGTTGTTACTCCACAGTTTGTGTACTATCATAAACCAACTGTTTCGAAGTTAGAATTGATTTTTATTAATTGATGTTAGTCTGCAATATCGCTTTGAGTTCTTCCGGCTCCCTTTTTTTTCTTTTTCTTTTTTTTTTCTAGATTGGCATTTGGTTCGTTCCCAGACCTACTTGCCTTATGTTTCCGAGGATCCATCCTCAGGAAGTGCACAGTTGGAGCTTTACTTGGAATGAGTTGCCTGTGTCATAGTTTTTGGTTTTGTAGCTGTTGATATTGTGAGTTTAGGCAAACCAATTTATTACAGTATGAGCCTTTAGTGGCCTATTTTTATTTTATTTTATATAGCTGGTTCTGATTGGTCCATGTTTTGCATCTGATTGTCTGTAATGCACCTGCTGGCTTGTGTTACATGATGGAGAGTTTCAAGTAACTTAATTTCCTTTTTTATATTTATTTTATTGTATTTATAGAAAACATGTTTTTGATGACGTTTGTATTAAGTTTAATATATTGATTTCTTCTCCCTGCTGCCCCTATTATTTTGTACTGAAAATAAACCCTGTTGATGAACATTGACTCTTGAGGTGTTTCTTTTCACCAACTTCAATGGATGGTTCACACAAAATAAAATAAGGGTTTGTAAACGAGACAATTTATTTGTGTAATTCCAAACTTGTATGAGTTTCTTCTCTGGGTCATGAGATTTTGAAGAGCTTTTGTTTGTTTGAGGTCCAAACAACAACAGACCAGGGTGAAAGACATAGTTCTCAATCTAATCTTTTGTTACACTGAAGAAAGATCTACAGGCTTTAAATTACGTGATTTTGTTTTTAAACTGATTTGTGTGATTTTTTCATCCAAGCCCCCCCCCCCCCCCAAAAAAAATGACTGCCTAAAAATTAAACTTTAAAAGGATAGTACATTCAAAAATGAGAATTGTTATCATTTACTCGCTCTCATGTTGTTCCAAACCTGTATGAGTGAATATATTTTGAAAATTGTCTGTAACCAAACAGTTAATGGTATTTTTTTTTTGTCCTAGTATGGTAGTCAATGGCAACTGTCTGGTTTCCAACATTCTTCAAAATATCTTTTCTTCAGTAGAAGACTCAGAGATTTGGAACAACATGAGGGTGAGTAAATGACAGAATTTCATTTTTTTAGGTGACCTACCCCTTTACTGAATAAGCTCCAAAATGACTGACTTCAATCATATAAAACCTAAAGAGAACGTAATGACCTCTAGGTTTTGGTTTCTAACGTTTAGCATGTTAGGATTTTCAGAAGCAACATGCGATAGTACAGTAGTCAACATTTGAAGTGGATCAAATAAGTTCATCAAAGTTGTCCTATAAGACAAGAACGGGTATTGTTCAAATTCCATGTGTACCTTTGATGAAAGGTTTTGATCCTCTTCAAATGTTGACTACTGTAGTTCATCCGTGGATGTGAGTTATGACTTGATTTGCTAAATTGCGCTTTGTCTTCAGGCTAGTATCTCCTTATCAGTGCTGTGAGTTTGTCCATTCTTCATTTATTGTGGCTTGTGGTTGGGGGAGGTGTGAGCAGATCACATCTAGTATGGAAATGAGAAGCCCTTTGTTTTATCTGGTTTACCCCCAATTTGCCTATTCCTCCATGAGTTAAGTAGTTAGTTGGTGATGACGAATATAGAGTTATTTGCCGCAAAACAGTATTTATCATTGTTTTAAAGTTGTTGTTTTCCCCCCGGAATAACCGGTGGCTCTACTTTGAAGTTACATGTTTACTTTTTCCTTCATTTCTCCCACTTGTCCATTTCGCTTCAGCGTGAAGGAAGGTCCTAATGGTGTTATGAAGAGTTGAAACTGAATCCCACGAAAGCTTTTGACAGTTAAGTAACAAGAAACTGATTCTGTTCACTATTCACTTGTCAGGGAGGACAATGGTTCGGGGAGGCGCCCTTTGAGAGAGGCGAACCAGGGAAAGGGTTAAAACTGTCTTACTGTTCTCTATTGTGTGTGGGGAAGATTCTCCCACATCGCCTAGTGAGTTTTTACAAAGCCAGGCGCATTCTCACACAGGGCCCGGATCATATGGAATCCTGAGCAGATGGCCACATTCACTGGGACTGTGGGTCAAACATATGCTCTCCAGGCTCTTGTGTAGAATGGAATCCGTGAGCGGAAAGGAGTGCGCTGGGAGCTGGGGGTGGGGAACTCAACCTGGCTACTGTAAGACAATGAGGCAGGGAAAGAAACACTTGCAAGTTTTTGGAATGAAATATTGTTATGCAAAGGAATCATTTGACTGAAATATGTTTGCATGATATATGTGACTTTACAAGGTTTTAAGTAAAAAGCCTTATTGCTATCTAGTATGTTAGATTTAAAAAACTTTTTTTTAAATTAGATGTTTTTTAAATATGATCGTAATTTTTGTCCTTTAAAGACATAGTTCACCCAAAAATGAAAATTCTGTCATAATTTACTCACCCTCATGTCTTTCCAAACCTGTATGAATTTCTTTCTTCTGTTGAACTCAAAAGAAGACATTTTAAAAAATGTTGGAAACCAGACAGTTGATGGCACCCATTGACTTCCATAGTATTTTCTTTTCCTACTATGGAAGTCAATGGGTGCCGTCAACTGTCTGGTTACCAACATTCTTTAAAATGTCTTCTTTCGTGTTCAACAGAAGAATGAAACAAATACAGGTTTGGAACAACTTGAGGGTGAGTAAATGATGACAATATATATATTTTTTGGGTAAACTATCTCTTTAAGTTGGTTAAATAGGAAGACACAAAACCACTAAACTCTATAAACCACTAAAACCACACTGGGATACATTAAACAAGATTCACCAACATTGAAAGAGAGAACCAAAAGGTTGGGACAAGTTGTCACATGTTTTATATGTTGTAGTTTTATAGTTTTTCTGGCAAACTAGTTAGATTTTTGTATATTCATTTCCCCATGTTTGCAGTTTAATTAAGTAATATATATATATATATATATATATATATATATACATATATATATATATATATATATATATATGGATTATTTGATGAATAGAAAGTTCAACAGCATTTATTTGAAATATAAATCTTTTGTAACATAAATGTCTTTATTGCTTTGATCAATTGAATGTGTCCTTGCTGAAAAAAATAAATAAAATCTTCCTGACCCCAAACTTTGACACAGTAGCAGACATGATAAAAAAGATGTTAGGAATAATGTTAGCTACTGATAATTTCAGTCACCATCGATCTTTTTCTCAGTGAAAGGTGTCATGTTATTACTATAGGCTAAATCATCTTTTCTGCTCCACTAAAGAAAGAAAGTGAAATAGAATGCATGGTTGAACCTTTGGAAACTTTAAATACTTCCAGATATACTTTTCAGATATATACAACCAAATAACCACCAGAGGTCAGTAGAGTCATATAAAATCACCTATGTATAAAAACAGTGTTCATTCTCTATTGTTAAAATGCTCAATGCTCATCGTATATCATAGTAAATAGTTTGTAACAAAGTGTTCTATCATATAGTGTAGTGTATTATATTTCATCTTCTATGGCTGAAACAGTACTTCCTGTTTAATCATGATTTTGCTAAGTAAGCTTTGTTCCTGGATCAACATATTTCGTTGATCCTTGAACAACATTCCTGTCAGAAAATGTAGCCCTACTCCTACCCATAACTTATCCCTAAAATCTTATCAATAAATGTGGATAACTCTGACGCACCTAACCCTGATTTTAAGCCTAAACTTGACATGAACTGTACACTTGTCCACTGAATCTGATTGGTTGATTGGAATGTTGTTCCAGGATCAACAAAGATGTTGATCCAGGAACATGTTGTACTTGGTGAAATCCGGATCACCTTCCTCATGACAGGAAGCTGTCAGTCAGCTGAAACAGCAAACATATTGCAATAGAAAAGTTCATATTAAAAGACAAGATATTGTAGATTTAAATAGTTGGACTATAATCATTTATGTTTAGGCATTCCCCATCATCAGGTGCACGAGGCCTTTTAGATGGACGGGATGTGTCTTTAGATCTATAAAGAGAGCTCAGCTGATATTTCCTGAATATATTTTTTACTAGATGTTTTACAATGTTCATAAGTTCCCCCAGGAAGGTCTGAACTGCAACAGTATACAAATTTAAACAGAGTGCGGGACCTTACGACAGCAAAAGAGAAAAAAAAAAAAAAAACATCTCAAGTTTTCATTAATGTCACAATTGGTCAGTTTCGCTTCCCTTTGCTGCTTGCTTCATTTCCTACTTTAAGCAGATCCAGAACATCATAAAAGAGGAAGTGTACCCCCCACCCAACACACACACGCAGAGGAGTATCTGTATTATTTGTGCTCAGAATTAATGGCACCCCCGGTAAATATGATCAAAAATGGCTGTAAAAAATAAATCTGCATTGTTTATCCTTTTGATCTTCCATTAAAAAAAAATCGCAAAAATCGAACCTTTCATTGAATTAAAAGAATTGAAACTGGGGGGAAAATCACATTATGAAATAATGCCGTAAGGCCATAATTATTGGCTCCCTGTTATTAAATACTTTTTGCAATCTCCTTTTGCCAAGAGAACAGCTCTGAGTTTTCTCCTAATGTCTGATGAGTTTGGAGAACATCTGACAAGAGATCAGAGACCATTCCTCCACACAGAATCGCCCCAGATCCTTCAGATTCACAAGTTCATGGTGGTGCTTCTTCTCTCCAGTTCACTCCACTCATCTTCTATAGGGTTCAGGTCAGAAGAGATGGAAATCGCAGGATTTCCAATTGAGATTTCCGAAAGGATCATTCACATAACAAAACTACTCTTTCCCATAAAAAAAGTTAGGATATTCCGTAATGTATTATTAGGGTGTTGTTTTAAAATAACAAGGGGGACAGACATTTTTCACTTTCTGATGTTTTTGGAAACTCACCAATTATTTCAGCTGCCGTCGCTTGAGAGCCAGGGGAAAAACGTTTTTTCATTATGCTACTTTAAAAGACAACAATTCAAGAACATGTTCGAGGTGAATTTAAAAAAAGAAAGGAAAAGAAGAAAAAAAGTCCCTACACAGCTGATTGAGTAACTCTGACAGAACATGATGTTTCCAAGGTCCTCTGGAGGTCAGTTTGAACATCCTCTCTCCCTCCAAACAAAGATTCCTTTACTCACAGATATCTGTCTAAATAATCTGTCTGATAACACTGACAAAAATACACTGCATTCAAATATTTGAAAGAAAATGCAGGGAGAAATGAACACAAAATAGGACGTGAAACTCTCAAAAAATTATTTTCAGGAAATGGTCATTCAATGGAAGTGCTTAGCCTTCAGAAAAGGCTGGTCAACATCCTCAGGAGGCCAACATAATATCATATGATCTGTTGGATTTACCATTCAACCCTGTTAGCAAAGTTTCAGAGTGATTGGTGTGATTTTGTTGTTTTCCCAACACACTCTCAGTAGTAAGTACCAGTGTAGTTCGACAGTGGTATTATAAATCACAATCATTTTGGGTTTGGGAACCTCAACAAAACATGTGGATCTTGATGCCTTC